CAGGGAGGTTTCAAGTCCTTCTGTCTGGAGGGTGAAGTGTGTGAGAAGTGGGCTGGGAACACGGGGCTGTTTGCAGAAGAGCAGGACTGAGATGCTCCATCTCCTTGGGCCTCTGGGAACTCAGTCTGGAAGAATCTGCTGATCAGCACAGGCCGGGTGCCTGACTGTCTAGAGCCACCCAAGTGTCATCCCGCCAAGAGGCAGGGGGACTTGGTGACCTCAAGACCCCTCCCAGCTCTAGGTGTGTTTAAGTCAGGGACAGGAGGTGTGGGCATCTGAGGACTTCACACTTCAGCCTGCTCAGTGTCCGGGAAGGTGGGCGCCCCCCCCCCCCCCCCGGTTCCTTGGCACCCTGGAGAAGACTCACGCGAGGCATCTGCCATGTAAGGTGTAGGCAGCGAGGCTCCCTGCCCGGGAACCACACGCTCCGCAAACCTGGCCCTTGGCTCGGCGCGCTTTACGTTCAGGTGCCTATAAAGCCTGCTGCCCTGGTAACCAAGGGCCAGTGACTGCATCAGACACCACAGAGGCACTGAGGGCAGGCCGGGTGGCTGCTACGCCTCGCCCAGGACAGGTCAGTCCGGCCGCAGGAAGGCCGGATGCTCCACAGCGTACACCGCCCACCCAGCATGTGGCCCAGGGCGCCTCCCATCAGGAAGCCTTCTAGGCAGCGGGGTGGCCCCGAGGGAAGCCAGGCTTTGGAATCTCACAGCCCCAGGCTGAATTCCAATTTGACCTCTTGCTGACTTAACCTCTCTGAGTCTCAGTTTCCTCCTCTGTAAGATGGGGCCGCCCCACCTGGCAGGGCTGTCGTACGTGGGCACAGTGGCAGGGACTCAGCCATCGGCCCCTCCTTTACTGTGATGCCAGGAGCTGGGCCTGTGCCGAGGCTCCCAGCCCCGTCAGCCCTCGCAGAGCCCCGCTACAATTGTAATCTCTGCATCGCAGCCCAGCGTGGAAGCAGAGACACCCCTCGTCCACGAGTGTTCTTCCAAGGTTAAAGTCACCAAACCTTGCCTGCGCGTAACAAGGCAGAAGTGTCATCCTGTGTCAAGAAACACCTTTCCAGCTGCCTCCATCCCAAGGTGGGCAGGTGAGGAGGGGAGGGAAGGAAAGCAGCTGTGCCTTAAAGACAGGGCCAGTGGCCACGCTGGAATCTTTATAGGATATCCTCTCACTCCCGTTCACCGAACCACCTGCCTCCCGGAGCTGGGGGGAGACCCGACTCCCAGCCCACCCTCATCTCTCTTTTCGCTTCCTTCCTCCTTCCTCCCTTCCATACTTCCCCTCCTGTCTTTTCTCTTCTCCCCCCCACCCCGACTTGTAAAACAATCACCGGGTGAGCAGCACCATCAAGCCACATTCCCGGGGAAGCTCGTCCAAGCCGACTCCGTTGGCCCCGACTGTGGGCCGCACTGGGAGATGTGGCTTTGAGAGGTGGGCAGGGGAGGGGCTGAACAGCTGGTACAGAGGACAGGCCCAGAATCTAGTGAGGGAAAGAGACCAGGTCAACGAGTTCGTCCTGACACGTTAGGTAAATCGGGAAGGTGCGAAGACACAGCCTTCCAGAAGCCGGTGATGAGTGCTGATTACACCCGGCTCAATTCTCAAGGTTTTCTATGAGTTACCACCATGCCACTTACCACACGCAACAGCCAGCTGCACGGCTGGAACAACCACGGCCAGTCAGGTTGAACTTGCCCGTGGTGCAAGGGCAAGGAGGCGGTGAGACTCAAACCTGGGCTGGCGGCCTCCAGAGCTCAGAACCAGTTTGAGACACGACCAGTGTCTACAGGGCATCTGTGTAGCTGGCCACCTGTTGATGAGGGAGGCAAGATGGGTGCGGAGGTGGCCACTTTTCCAGCTGAGGCTTACCAACAAAGTGATGTGGCTAGCCCAGAAGTCAAAGTGAGGGGCAGAGTGTGGTCTGGGGCCTTGGATCCCCAGCTTTCCTCCTCACATATCCCGCCCCCAGGTCAGGCGTGTCTAGACTGGTCCCAGCAAGGCCATAAAGAGCAGGCATCAGGCCGGGCTGGGATGGGGTACTGGGCGCGGGGTCTGCTGTGGGCAGCAGGGGAAAGTGGGAGGAAGCATGTTTGTTGAGGATCTGCTATCTGCTAGGTACTTCTACCTACAACCCGGGGGCTTATTTACCTCTCATAGCAGCCCTGAAAGGCTTCTCAGTTCAGATGTGAGAGGGTAACAGCAAAACTGGGCCAAAGCACCCAACTAGGAGGCAGCAGAACCAGAACTCCCACGTGGAGCTGGGTGCCCAAAGCCTCCCTCCCCTCACACACTGCAGGCCTGGAGGTCCCTCCCGCTGGCAGGCAAGGGCAGGAACTGTTCTCAGGGGGGTGCACAGGGCCAGTGCATTAGCTGGCTGGAGTCTGGTAAGCACAGAGAGTGTGACCGTCTCCGTCACTCTCCTTTGCATTCAAGCCTACGGCAGCCTGAAGTTGAGGTCATCTGTCAGGCTGAGGCTGGGCGCTGTGCCCTTCAGTCAGCCTGCCACACGCAGCATGAGGCCTGGTGCAGCTCAGCCTACGTGGGCTGGGTGTGTGGGGGGGACTGGGTGTGCCGGGTTGGCTCACTGGCACCCTGGACAGTCACATTACAGAACTTGTCATCCCCTTTAGAGATGAGGAAGTGAGGTTCTAAAGGCGATGTCACTCAGGGCCAGTGCCTGGTGGAGCTGGGGCCAAGGCTTCCTGATTCCCAAACCATGTGCTGCGCCCTACACCCTGTGTCCAAAGACGGGCCCAGCAGCACCCACGCTGGGATGACCTCAGCAGCAGGGGCTGGTGTGGCAGAGGAAGGGCTGAGGGGACCAGGAGGGCAGGGGCTGGGGATTGGACTGGACAGGGCAAGGCCTGGAAGCAGCCCAAGTCCTATGCCAGGGCCCATGAGGACCCAGTCCAGCGGGCACTGGTCAGATCAGTTAGGCCAGGGCCAGTGTTCTGGGCAATCCATCTAATTGGCACAACACTCCCACCAGGCCATGGAGTGAGGAGTCGGGGAGACAGGTGTCAAGAACCAAGGAGAAAGCCAAGGTTCAACCAGGGGAGCAAGCGGGCAGGGTGGGCAAGGACCTCTTGAGTTTAGGGAGAGCTAGATTTGACTCTTGTCTAGGCTACTTGGTAGCTAAGTGACCTTAGGTACGTTACTTAACCTTTCTGAGCCTCCTTGTGTTAATCTACAGATGGGGAAATAATTGGGGTGAAGACCTGGCGTAGGACAGCACCGGGCTGGGGTTCTGGGCGGCTGATGGAAAGGCTGGACCCTGGGTCTTGGCCCGCTGACTACTCCCAGCCTCCACCTGCTGTGGGGCCGAAATTCCTTCTGGGATCCTGCCAGGGTCCAAGCTGAACAGGGAAGTGGGCTAACCTCAGCCACTGGGTGGAGGGCTGCACTGACTCAGGCCCCGACAATGCTGCCACCAAGGAAGTGAGGATGGTAACAGATACTAGAGGCTTTGCTCAGAAAGCCCACAAAGGTAAGCCTGGGCTGTACACGTAACTGCCCATGGAATGAAATCTCTCAGCTGATTTTTGGCCCTCTCTCTTCTACTTGGAGTTCTCTATAAAAGCATTACATGGTCTCAGAAGCCGGGGTCCTGCAGTGACCTCCCCCCACATCATGTCCAAGCTGGTGCGGGGGCCCCGAATCTTCTCTAAGGAGCACTGGGCCGAAGATAGCAGAATGAGGAGTCTTCGGCTAATGACGGCCCCTCTTGTAGGAACAAGCATTTTCTTAGAAGGACCTGTCACCCGCTAGTTGAAGAGTCAGCTCCGGTGGCCGCCTCTGGCTTTCTTTGTTGAATAACAGGAGGAGAAGGAAGATGTGTGTGGTCTAGAAGATATACAAGGGCATGTACTGAAAACTGACCCTTGGGATTGAATCAGAGACTATGAGGCAAAGCCAGCTTCTTGGGGACTCCCCCACCCTCACACTGAAAAATATCCTTCTCTTCAGCAAGTTTTGTTCACTCCCCGAAGCACATGAGCTAGTTCCACAAGCCTGCCGGCGTCACGTGAGACAAACCCCATGAGTGAGTCCAGTGCGTGGGAACAGCCGTGTCTGAACCACTGTCTGTCCTTCTGCTGGAAGATGCGTTTTTACTTTCCTTCCTGCCTCCCCAGGAAGGAACGATCCTTTGTGAAATGCTCACGAAGGTGAGCAAAAGTCTGGATAACTCCCACCAGCCAAGCAGCCGACGTCTCCTCCTCCAGGAAGCTGGCCTGTTCCCCCTGCCCCCCACCCCCCAGGGCTGCATCCTCACGGCTGGCCACCCTCTTGCCCCTTCACTCCGCACTCATTTCAAATCATTTCACTCACAGGGACACCTCTTCTACTTCTGAACAATATCTCCCTTCAACCGAGTGTGTGAGGCCCCCTCTACTCTGCTCCGAGGTGGTCCCCATCTCTAAGTGCAGTGATGACTTTACTTTCAAACAGACATGCCCCCCGTTTGTAAAACACCTGAGGTTGGGATGAGTCACCACCCAGACCACTGCCACCAAATGATCACCAGCACTGGAGTTGGTGGAAAAACCAAGGGAGAGATTTCAGGCTCCTGCAAGGGGAGGGGAGACAGGAGAATTTATTTTTAGTTAAAAAAATTTTTTTTCTTCTAGATATCAAGTTTCAGAAAACCTTCAAGAGTGTCTTTTTTAATTCTGTGGCCGGAGAGAGGGAGTGTATCCTAGCCTGAAATGGTGGGGAATGTAAGCTGCTCCCACTGGGTGGATTACTTCCCTGGCTAATCGGATGTCTGCAGGATACCGGGGTGCCCGAGCTCTTCCGAGAAGGAGCGGGTAGATTTATGGCTCTTGGGGTTGCTGCTTCTTGGGGGGCAAGCTCTGTTCTTTCTGCATGACTCTCGAAAAAGAACTCCTGGGTCTGATCTAGCTCCTTTCTCTTGGATTCCCAAGCCAGCCTGTTCCCCCAAGGAACAGCGCTGCAGAAGCCTTCAAGGAACCTGAAGAAATGTAAATTACTACTCATGTCAGACCATTGTTGGGGGGAGCACACAATCTGAGGGTTGCCTGCTGCAACATCAGCTTCAAAATACACAGCTAATCCAGGACAAACCAGGACAGAACACCACCCGGTACTGCTGGTCAAAGCTTCAGAGCTATCCTAATGTGCATATGGGACCGGGAGGCTGGTGGCCCCTTTCGGGACACCTGCTGCCCCTCCAAGTCTCGGCTCCACCTCTCTGCCTGCTCCTTGGCTGTGGTTCAGTCCACAGGGGCTTCGAGGAGATGGGAGGGAGGGAAGGATGAAGGGGGTCTACCTCCTGTGGGTCACAGCAGGCTGGAGATGCCCCCTGCCCCTAGCCCTGGTTAGGGGTAGAAGGGCCTTACTATTTCTGGGAATATAAAGCACAACCCCATAGGATTCCTACACCCTGTCTTCAAATATCCTCATATTATCCAATTGGAGTATGCCATTTCCTGCCAAGACCCTGACTAATCCAGCCACCAATCAGGCTCTCATTAAATATCCAGGTATTCATTACGCCCTGGAACCAATGTGCTTGACATATTGTAAACATGGACATGAAAAGACTTCCACCCTGGCACAAGCCATAGACCACTTCGAGGATCCCTGTCTGAACACCCAGGCCTGACCCCCTCAGTCTCTAGGACAGGGGAATCTTCTGGAGCCCAAGTTTAGGGAATGGAGGATTCCTAGAAGGCCCGTCTTTCTGGGGTCCCCCGTCTGGTTGGCAGGTACTCTCTTACAACAGAAAGCAGGGGTCTGACACAGCCTTGGGTCTTGGGCCTGACAATTGGCCATTCCAGTGGATTTCCTTTTTTGGGGGGCGGGGGTTAAGTAGGCTCCACACACCCAGTGTGGAGTCTAATTGGGGCCTGAACTCACAAGAGGGCCCTGAGATCAAGACCTGAGCTGAAATCGAGAGTCCGACGCTTAACCGACTGAGCCGCCAGGTGTCCCTCCAGGGGATTTCCATTCTAGGGGAACCCCCTGGAGAGGGAGGGCTGGGAACTGTCACATCACGCTGTCCCCTGGAGGGAGCAAGACCGGGAGAGGCAAAGGGCCTGTGGTTGGGTTTTGGCACTGGCCTTGTAACAGCTTGGAGTCAACACTGGTGAAGAAGGTCTCAAGAGGCTATAAAACAAGGTAGGATGTAACCAGCAGCTAGAAAAGTGATAGGCACGCCCACTGTCCCCTGAGTAACTGTGGTCACTGTGCCCCATTCAGATGTCTTTTGGTCTCCTTCAAAGGTCTCAGGAGAGCTCTCGCACGTGGAATGTGTGCTTGGCACGGCTGCCTGCTCCCCGGGGAGAGGGGAGGCCCGGGTGTGCTCGGCTCTGCACCCGGCCCAGCTGCAGCTCCCTTCTGCACGTTGCCCCAGCCCTCCCGGCACTCGCTCCCCATCTCACCAGGGCTCGCAAGTGTCTGTCGCACGGCACCGAGGTTCTTGCCATCACCCCCCTTCTAGATGAGGTGCACGAGTAGGGCAGAGCAGGCCGAGCCCAGGACCAGGCCCAAGCACAGGTAGAAGGACATCACCACCCCCGTGGCCTCGGCCAGCTCGCGGGGCACGATCTTCGGCCCGTACATGAGGGCCAGGGTGCTGAGGTAGCCGTTGCTGAGTCCCAGCAGGCAGGTGAAGAGCACCGGGTAGAGGTCAGACCGGAAGAACACCGTGTGCAGGCGGCTGCGGGGCTGATAGTTGCAGAACATGAAGAGGGGGAGGAGACAGGTCCGGAGGAGCACGAGCCCAGGGAGCACCTTGCTCCTGGGCCCTGGCACCTGAATCCAGGCTGTGACCTGCCGGCCACACAGGTCGGCAAAGTTAAACAGGAGGAAGGTGGTGAGGGGGACGAAGAACTTGGTGGTCCACGGCGAGCCCGAGCCCTTGTCGAGGGACTCGATGTTGGTGGAGATGGCGGGGAAGACGAGGCTGGTGATGAAGAAGAGGTAGACGACACAGAAGCCCAGACCAGCTGTCCTCTTCAGGATGGGGCGGAGGGGTGGTATGGAGGGGTCATGGGACCCAGGGGCTGCCAAAGGGGCGCTGGGGGAGTCCTGGGGTGCCTGATCTTCCCCAGAAAACACGTGGGCTGGCCAAGCAGGCCTCAGGTAGAACCTGTGGGTGGAGAGGGCTGGTGGTCAGAGGGCCCCGGAAAGCAGGCTCACCTGGGATTTCCAGGGACATGGCAAGGGACCTACAGGCCTGGTGCATAAAGCCTCAGGAAGCCCTCAGACATGCGTGTCTCGGGGCGGCCACAGGGAGGCCCCCACGGTCCCTGGCCTGCCCATCCTGGTGCTGCCTGAAAGGCTGGCCACGAGCAGAGACAGAGGGAAGCAGCACTAACTGCCCCCTCTGTTCGGTCTCACTCCTTAGGGGTCCTGATGGTTAAAATCTGGTGGCTGTGGCTCTACAGATGTGCATACGCCCCCCTCCCCCACCACATGTCCTTCCTAGTTCTGTTTCTTAAGCAAAAGTGGGATCAAACTATACACATTGTAAAACTTTCTGCAACAGGACAATTCCTAAATACAGTATATAAATGCATTACCTAACAGCCCAAATAACATCCTTAACGATGGTATACACATGCATGCACCTAATCGCGTCTAGAACAGTATCTCGTGGCCAACCTTTAACGTGGAGACACATGACTCAATGCCCCTCTGTTGTGTAGCGTATTTCATTGTATGCATATGATTTAATATTCACTGCATGCATATGCAATTTAACCATTCCCTTACTGACGGACATTAAGGTTAGCTCCGATTTCTCTCTACTACAAATAATGGTGCGATGAGTAGTCCCACACATACAACCTTGCACCTGGATGTACTTCAGTAGAGCAGATTTTTAGAGGAGGAACTTCTGGAGCAAAACGTTTGTATCTTTAAAATTTTGATAGCTATCAAGTAAATTGCTCTCTAAATAGGTCAGACCAATTTGTCTCTGCTCTGTACCACTCACCTGCCCCATCTCCAGTCACCTGCCCTGTTAATCTCTACACGGTTGTTGGTTTCTTCAAAAACACTGACCACAAATTATAACCATTGAGTTAGTTTCTGGTTTATCATCTGGCTCCTTCAATAGAAGGACCATGTTTGCCTGTTTGCAGCTAAATCTCCAGGCACAGAGTAACCCTCCAAAACATAATTATAACTAATATGTCTATAAAGGTGTCTTTCCCCCCATATCCTCAACACTGAATATTATCAATATTTTCCATTTCTGCTACTCTGACCACAGTAGAAGACACTTGGGTCACTGGCCTCACCGTCTTGCTGTGTGACCTCGCCTGAGTCACTCAACCTCTCTGGGCCTCAGATGCTGAAAGCCAGGAGACACATAGGCTGACTGCATGACCACACCTCACACAGAAGGCTTGGTGTGGGGTTGGGCGAACAGTAGCTCGGTGATGGCTGGCTTCTGGTCTCAGCCCCCGTTCTGTCTCCCCATGTGACCTTAGGCCAGGGACGCCCTTCTCTGGGCTCAGTCTCCTCCTCTGTAAGATGGAGGGGTGCTGCAGCTGTGAGCTTCTGAGCCCCCTGCCAAGCCACCCATCCTAAGCGCCTATGGGTAATAAGTGAGTTGGTGGGACAGCTCCTCCTCCGAGCCACTTTTCCGTGTGATGCTGAGCTGGGCACTGCAGCCTTGAACTCTGTCTTGTTCCAAAACCACTATTTAGGGAAAGGAGTATTCTTACTTCCCCCACTACTCAGTGGCAGGTCCCAGTTTGTAAGTTAATAGACGTGCCCAGGCTGCTCCCCTGGTGAGTCACAGACCGGGGTTTGAACCTGGATTTGTTTCCACAGCTGTGCCCTTTGCACCATGTTTGAGACACCCAGCTCTGAGAGGGCTCCGCCCCAAGGGGCCCTGGTCAAAGCTCTTCCTCATCAAGCTCTTCCACATCTGTCTCATGTCGCCCTCCCCGAGCCAGCAGCCCCCCACACGGCCTGGGGCTCCATTCCTCCTGGGCGCAGCCCCCATGGGCTTCCCTTTTAACTACAATTCAGTCTGAGCAGCCCCAGGAGCACGGCTGTCTCCAAAGCTCCTTCCTCAGATGCGTTTCTGTAAACCCAGAAGTCTTGACCAAAGTGTTAATCAGCAAAGAAGGAGAAGCTTCCATGGGACAGCATAGCCCCTGGCTCAGTTGGGAAGGATTTTGTGAGGATTTCAGTTGGAAAGTGAGACTGGAAACTAAGGTGACCAACTGTCTCCATTGGCTGACACTGTCCTGGTTTTAGCACCAAAAGCCCCTCATCCTGGGAACCCCTTCAGTCCCAGGCGAACGGGGAAGGTTGGCCACACACTGGAGACAGACCCATGTGAAGCCCCATGAAACAGGACGCAGGGAAACAGCAGGAGAGCTGGGACCCCCCCCCCACCCCGCCTTCTGTCCGTTCCATGACTCAGACATGGTGTAAAGGGCACAGCTGTGGAAACGAATCCGGGTTCAAACCCCGGTCTGCGACTCACCAGGGGAGCAGCCTGGGCAAGTCTATTAACTTACAAAGCCTCGGTTTCCTCATCTGTAAAATGGGGAAGGACGGTAACAACTGCACACAGTTGTGAGAAGTGAAGAAAAGACACCCAGGCATAAACTGCTGAGCTCAGCGCCACCATACAACATGGGTCCCTGTGGGAAAGGGCAGAGCCAGGGCCTGGGCCTCCCCAGCTCAGCCGGCTTGCCCACTGGGCAGCCTTCTCTGGCTCCGCTTCTTCACCTGTAGGACAGGGCAAATAATTCCTCCCTCTCCTACATCAAATATGACGTGGATCGGAAAATGCCTTGTAAAGAATAAAATGCAAGACAAAGTTAGGGGCTATTGTTAAAAGAGAAGCAAGAAGCACGGAAGAAAGAGGGATGAGAGAGAGAAAGCATGAGAGAGGCTGAAGTGAGAGAAAAGGTCCCCTGGGGGAGGGAGGCCTGGGGAGACAGTGGGTACAACGCAGCTCCGGGGTCAGGGAGGCACTCAGGCACGTCGTTCGACCTCGCGGAGCCAAGCCGGGGTCCTCGTGTGTGCACGGGGCTGGCCTGATGCACCTTAGTGCCGCACCCCACGAGGAACAGGTGCCTGAGCCCCGGATGAGAGATGGCCCATCAGGCTGGGCTGAGCACAGTGCAGAAGCAGCAGAGGCGCTCCGCGAATGGAGCTGTTCTTCATCACTATTATTCCTCAGTCCCACTTTGGGCGCCTGCCCCCCCCCCGACCTGTGCAAAACCTGGCATACTCCAGCTGCTGGGGGGCGTGCGGGGGCTGCAGCACAAAGCCGGCTTCTCGGATCTGCAGGCCCGGCCAATTCACGGAGCAGCTACACCGAGCCAGCTATAGCCCGAGGCTCTGGGGCCCGGCAGTGAACAAAATCCACACCACTTCTGCCCTGG